CTGTTTCTCCACCAGGATATCATGGGGCACTTTGTCAAAGGCCTTGCTGAAATCCAGGTATACCACATCCACTGCATCCCCTCCATCTAGCCATCTCGGAACCTTGTCATAAAATTCCACAAGGTTTGTCTGGCAGGACCTGTTTTTGCGAAAGCCGTGTTGTGTGACTTCCGCAAATGACCTTCTGAAATCATCAAAACTTAAACCATGAGTGCTGGCAACATGGATTCAGCTTCACATCCTGGCACTCTGGCTCTTCTGTTGTGTTTCAGCTCCTTGGCTGTTGCTCTGGCCATCCCATCTGTTTCTGATGAAACCTTTTTGCATCTGTTGCAAACAAATTGCCATTATTGTGGCAGTAATTCTGAACTTTTGACAAAGCTTGATTTGAATCTCAACTACAGTATGAGCACTGTTTTGAGGACTCAGTGTAGGCTATTAAATATGTAAAGCCACACTAAAACTTTAAATCACAAAGTCTCTCCTACTGATTTTTAAAACTGTATTTAAAATATTTCTAAGCCACCTCTGAGGGCCAAAGCCCTCCAATAGTGCTTTGCATAATGGAATCCCATGCGAAAAATAAAAAATAAATAAAAATGCATAAGTAATAGTATCTGTACACACCAGCAGTAACAACAAAATTCAGCTCAACAAAATGGAACTGTTCCAAATACCCAGTGTTACATTACCTTCAAACAAGGCTGAAAATGGAGGATTTGCCAAACTAACAGATCAATGAAAAACAGTTCACTGGTGTATTAGACAGAACAAAAATGCTTTCAAGTATGTAAGTATGGCAGCAATTATGTTCCAGTGAATTTTCCTTTTTTAACTAAGGAAAATATTTTGCCCTTATAAATTTTAAAAGTGTAGATTTTCTGAGGAAAGCATGCATAGATCCATTGAGTGTCATTTTAAGACATAGTGTATCTCTGTAAAACATGCCAGATACTTTAGATCTTTATGATAATCTATATGATTATTATAATTATTACTACATTGCACTGAGATCTTGTCTTTTTTCCTTCTGGGATGAACTGTGGAACAGTTCCATTGTTCTCCACTCCATTTTTATTCCACAACAACAACTCTGTGAGGTAGGCTAAGCTAAGTTCTCCATGACTGGCCCAAGGTTACCCAGTGTGTTTTATGCTCAAGTGTGTTTTATGCTCAACCCGGATCTCACGGGTCCAGTCCAATGCTTTAACCATCACGCTG